GATTTCATCAAAATTGTAAATGAAAACCAGCTGTGATTTCTACAGTGCCCCGTTCACATGCAGAGTCCACCCTGTGGTCTGTGCCCAGGTCCCTGAGGGCGAATGTGTTCATGCCACTTAAAGGTCAGCGGCACGAAAAGGAGACCACCCGGGACCCCAGGACCTAGACTCAGCACAGCTGCAGAAGCCGCTGTGAGCCTTGGAGGAATCCCACCCGCACTGTGCCCGGCAGGCCTGGCCGGAGTTCTGGCTAGTCTGCAGTGGCCCTAATTTCAGGATCGGACCCCTGGGTGGGCTGCTTCAGTCACAGCCCCTCTCCAGCTCAGGTTCGGCGAAGCCCAAGGGCTGGCTGGCTGCCCACCGACGACCTCCGCTGTGAGCATCTTCTCCAGTGACAGGTGATAGGGCTGTGCTCTGGGCCACGCAGGAGCCAAGGAGCAGGTGCACTGCCTTGTCACTGTCCCGTGGCAGAGGGGGCCCAGGAAAATCGCTGTGGTTCACGTGCAGCTTTAATGCCCCACCTCCTGGGAAGACACCCCCCACACACTGAAACGCAGTGTGAAATTCAGAAAACAGTGCAACTCGGAGTTCCTTAGAAAATTCTCCCCAGAAAGCATAGTTCTCAGATTTCCCCAAAACCCAATTTGCTGAAAAGAACATATATGATAAAAAAAGATGAAAAATGTAAGGACATAATTTTGAAAGTTTTGTCTATTATTCAAACGACATAAGCAATTAAATTATGGTGAAGTGCTTATCACAAGGGGATTGAGTCACCTTTGACTGAGCCACCAGGAGATGGAAGTATCACCACCACACTTTCCAGCCAGAAATGTCAAGGGGACGTGCCGCTGTTCTCACCAGTCTCAGTTGTCCAGAAAACTCATGATACACGCAATTTAGAACATAGCCTTTCACGTAGCTTTTAAAAAAGCAAATATCTCTTTGCAGTTACTGCCCGAGATGTAAGAGTGCTGAGAGGACCAAACAGGGAACACCGCCGACACAGCGCTCACGTCAAGACCAGACAGTGACCCGGGTTTCTCTCCGCATCGGCCCTGGGATTCGGGCCATTTAAATCCTCAGTGCCTCAGTTGCCTTACCTATAAAAGGAGAACGGAATACAGTTTTGCTAACTATTTCATATAGTTCTTATGAAGATCAAATACAATAATTATACGGAAAATTTTTATGAATTGTAAAGTGCTTTACAAAGTATTTAGGTAACTTCTTCATTCATTTACTAAGCTACCATAATTATTTTTATTTTCCAAGCTCTTTTGTAAATAGTTTGGGGTGATAGAAATATGTTAATTACAGTTCTCATCCATTTGAGATTATATTCTAGAAGGAGAGTTTAAAGAATTTTGCACCTGTGGACAAGCTGGGATAAATGTCGTGTGAACAGTTCAAACAATTAACAGTGAAGTTCAGAGCAGGAACGGAGGTCCTTTTTGGATGGAATGACTTGTCGCAAAAATGCACTCTGTGTCTGTTCAGAGCATCTCCTGTGCAAACACATAGTGGCAACAACTCCATCTCCTAGCATGTGGGGGCCGGACCGCCACCCGCTGTACAGCGAGGCCACACGTGGTGCTGACCACAGGCTGGCCGCTGCGACCAGGACGTTTCCAGCGGAGCTTGGTGGCCAGCTTCCTGCTCTACTTCCAGAGACTGTTGTTCTGTAGGAAGGAGGAGAGCAAAACGGATAGCCAGTGAGGAATGGAGAAGAAAGCAGTAAACCTTGATTGTGTTCGGGTCTTGGAATCGGATGTTTTTGAATCCCAGCAGTGTTCTCGCCCTTGGAAAAACAAATACCTTGGATTTCTGTAACTTACAATAAAAAAAGTCTTAAATAATACAGATTCACTGAGGTTGCATTTAAAGGATTGAAAGGATTTGAATAAGGATAGGAAGGTGTGCCTGCTTCCTTGACCAAATTGACAGGTACATGGGAATTAGTACAACAAGAGCTAGAAAGTGGAAATGGGGTGAACAGAGGTGTAAACCCGGCCTCAGCTTGACGCAAGCAGTGAGGACACTGCCTGGAACTGGGGAGAGACCACACATGCACACAGGTTCTATAAGCTCTCGTGGTCACCTACCACGGCACGAAGCCAGAAAGCCCCTGTGATGTGTAGCCAGCCATTGGAGGCCCTGCCCACGTCACTTGCTATTGCTGCCATAATAAACTACCACAAACCTACTGGCTTACAAAACAAATGTGATGTCTTGCAGTTCTGGGAGTCAGCCAATACCCAAATGCCACGTTAGCTAGCCTAACCATCCTTCAGGGATTTTTTCTATTTTGGTCCACCAAATACAGTCAAAAGCAGAGGGAAAAAAATCCTCAAATGCAAAGTGCACGCTGCACTTGTATGTTTCTTAGCAGCCAAGGTAAGATTTTAAGGGACTTTTTGGAAGTCCCATGGGGCTGGAGGAACATAACTTCTTCCACACCCAATACAGTGAATTCAGTGACGTGTGTGATGGTGTTGGCCCTCCAACCAAGTTCTGGAAAACTGTGCCATTTTTAGCACCTGTTGGCTTAGGAATAAAGCAAAAAAAAAAAAGAAAAACAAAGAGAACCTCTTCAACTAGTATCATTACTGACTGAATTTTCCCGGAAGGCAGAACCTAAATCTGTCTCCTGGACTCTCCCTCCTTTTGCGCGAAAGGTGTCTGTCTGTGGACGTGAGGAGGTTCTGCAGTGATGGTGCCAGACCTGGGCACTGCTGAGGGTCTGTGCCCACAGAGAGTTCCAGCAGGTCTTTGACGCTGACCACTGAGCACTGTCGCACATTCATTCGCCCATTCGCGCCCCAAACCCCTTCAGACGACCTGCTCCGTACTAGACACGCTGTGGTGTGGAATGAGCAGGCAGGTGTGGTGGCCGATGGAGAGGCGCGGACCAGAGCAGGGGCCCAGGGCCCCGGAACCCGTGTCGTCACAAACTCCCGCTGGAAGTGTGGAGCGAGGGTGATACTAAATTTGCTGGATTTTGCCTATGAAGCTTTTATTATCCATGACTATAGATTTTTCACAAACACATTTAAAAGTGAGTATAGTTTTGTAAAAGCAATCCAGGAAAGAAGAGTCAATATAACAGATTTGGCTATTGATTGTGCTCGAAAAAAATATTTCTACACCTAAAATTGAATGAGGTAGGCCAACACTTCTCAGTCCCACAACCGTGAATATGAAAATTCATTTTGTTGCAAATGTCCTAGAAAAACGCAGTAGTGTCCCTGCCCCGCACAGGGCTGGGTGCAGGGTTGTGCTGCCATCTGCTGGTGGCGGCCGCCCGCCCAGCCTCTCGCAGAAAGGCCTGGGACAGCTGGCTCGTGGGACGGAAGTGCCACGTGCAACAGGTGTACTGGGTGTCCTGGGAACCCAACCGCATGCACCATGGCGCAGTCCCAGGGCATCCTGGTTCTGCAGAATCCAGCACCCCAGGAATATGGACTGCTGCGGATAAAGGCAGTGGAGGATTGCAGACACAAATCTGAACAATTTAGGAAACCAACAGTCACTCAGTTGCCTTACCTATAAAAGGAGACCGGAATACAGTTTTGCTAACTATTTCATATAGTTCTTATGAAGATCAAATACAATAATTATATGGCAAGTACAGGATATCATAAGAGAAAATGGGGGTGGGAGACAAGCCGGGAGACACAGGAATTGGGAGGGAGTGGAAGAGGGGAGATGAGGGAGCAGGACTGTCAGCAGAGCCAGGAATTAAACAGAGCCACTGAAGACTCAGGGTGAGCACGACCGGCCAGCCATGGCCGCAGGAGGGACACACAGCTGCACACACAGGGGCCACGACCGCTGGAAAGAGGGCGGAGCTGGGACGAGGGTGGGGTGGGGAGGAGGAGCCTCAGTGGGGAGCTGCGGCAGGAGCCAGGCCACACCAACCCTGCGGGCCACAGGGAGGGTCTGGGCTGAATTCGAGGGACACCTTTGCAGCATTCAAAGTGGACAGTAACTTCACTTAATATACAGTTTTAAGAGAGCTCTGCAGCCGGCATAAGGCCTGGCGGTGGAGGCCGCGGGGTCCAGTGGGGGATGGCTGGGAGCACAGATGGATGTAGGGCCCTGACAGCTGCAACTCCGTGGACACAGAACTCAGGGCTGCTGGCTCGCTGGGCGTGGAGGGCCCTGGAAGATGCTCGGGCAGCGAGGACGAGAACACTCGTGCAGGCTGGCTCGCAGGGCAGGCGGTGTCTCTGCTCATGTTTGGTTTGGTTCCCTAGCTCACCTGCCAGGAACCCATTTTCGCTCCATTCTGCTCAGCTTTGCTTTGCGCCAAGAGGATGCCGGGTCTGAGTTCCTCTCGCTGGCACGAGGCGGCTTTGGGCTTCACCTCACCCAACTCCATGCTGAGGGAGGAGTGACATCTCTTCAAGGGCACTCAGGGCCTGCAGGAAACCCTGTCCTGCTGGTCTGCAGGGAGTGACTTCATTAAACCTGTTTCCTGAATCAACACTGGCAGAGTATTCTGGATATCCACTAGAAGCAGCGTGGACACTGCTAACCTCAAAAATAAACTCTGTTATTTACCACCAAAAATGGGTTTATTTGAGAACAGCAGAGAATTGCAACTCAGGACACGCAAGCGATGCAAAACCATAGGCAAGTCCTAAGATCACAGGAGGAACGTGACTTTATGGAGGAGGAAGCTGGGAGGGTCGCTTTTAAGGGAGTTCACTGAGAAGAGGGGTGGGGGGTCCAGGTGATGAGGGCTCCCCCCACCCCCGGCTAAACTGCAGGTGGTGGATTTCTCTTGGGCAGTGAGCTGCGCATCCTTCCGTGTTGGGCTGCCCCTCCCAGCTCCCAGTCCACTTGGTGAGCCTTCCCGTATCTCCCAGCTTCCAGGGGCTGGTGCCCCAGGAGGACTGGGCCTCCCGGCCCACGGCAGTTGGCCCAGGCGCCCCTCAGGTGGCATTCCGTGTGACCCCCAGGTGGTGCGCCCAGGGATGGGGACGGAGCAGGCCACAGGGGAGGGCCCGTTCCAGACCCTGCATTCCGGAGCGGACACTGTCGCGGGGAGAGGACTCTGCGCCGTCGCCCGGGAGCGCACCCCGTCCCCAACTCCACCGCCGGGAGCGCGCGCCCTGCGCCCGCCCTTTCCCGGGACGCGCAGTTTCCGTAGACCCCACGGGAGCACCACATGCGCTCGCCCAGTGGGAGAACCTGGGACGCCGGCGCCCTCCCTGCCCTGACGGGAAAACAATCGAGGAAGTAGCAGTTCCATTATTTATTTTAAGGCCATAGACAACCGCGAGACGTGAACCTGGTACCGAGCGCGGCAGATATCGCGAGACGGAAGGGGCCCGCTCCTCCCTGGGCCCAATAAAACGGGCCTCGCGACAAGTGGAGATCTCGCGAGATCGACACCAGCGGCCTCTCTTGTCTCCTGACGGTGGTCGTGAGACGGAGCCTTTCCGGGACGATGCCTTCCCCCTTCTCAGTCAGCTCTTTTCCCGTCAGCATTCCCGCCGTGATCACGGTAAGTCGCTGCCTCCTCAGGCGTCAGCTGGGCCTCCTGGCGTCCGTTGTGGCCGCCGCACCCCAGTCCTGGGGGGGCGGGGCCTGAGCAGTGGGCGGGAGGGCCCGAGGCGGGGCCTGTTGGGGCGGGGCCTGGGTGAGGTGCCCCGTGGAGGGCGGGGCTTGTGTGGTGGGCGGGGCTGCGATCCCAGGGCGTGCAGTGTGGACCCGCGGGTCGAGTCCGCCCCAGGGCGCCTGCTCTCCGGGGCGCGCGTAGTGGGGCCGCAGGTACCCACCCCCGCATCTCCGCCCGGCCCTGGCGGGCGCGCTGGACATAAAAACAACTGGGAGAGGCTTGGGGGTCACCTGGGCCGCAGGGGTCCGGGTAGGGCCGGTGCCTGAGCCTGCTGGGTTTAGGAGCATCTGCGGCGACCCGGGCTTCGGAGTGCACAGCTAGGGCCGCCCAAGGCCTTGAGTGCAGGTCTAATGAGTTCGAGATGGCGTTGTGTTCACTCCTGTGCCTTCCTCCTCACGTCACCGGCCGTGATCCATAGGTGCTCTGCGTAAAAGCGCTGTTCTGCTCACCAGCCAGGGGCAGGTCCGTGCCGCCACAAAGCCTGCAGCTCACGCCCACCCAGTGACGCTCTCCGAAGGCTGTAGTGCAGGGCCTTCCGCTCCCACTCCCTGCCCCTAGTGCCCACTGTCGGGCTCAGAGGCCCCAGGTGCGCCGTGGCGCGCCGACGCCCGGTGACTGACGATGCCCTCTGCCGGCGTGTCCCGCAGCAGACAGACTGGACCGAGCCGTGGCTCCTGGGGCTGGCCGTCTTCCACACGCTCTGCCTGCTGCTCACGTGTTTCTCGTCCCGGAGGTATGGACTGCAGGTCGGGCATTTCCTGTGCCTAGGTGAGTGGAAGGGACACATCCTCTGGCTCAGAGGCTCGGGGTGTGGTGCTGTGTGGTTCTGTCCTCCGGACAAGTAGATAGGCTTGAGGACCTCCTCCTCCTCCCCGCCCCTCCTCACATGTCCTTTGATTTCCAGATTTCCCTCTTGGGAATTGTAAAGTAAATTTTGGATATTGAATTTGAAAGAACCCTAGGAGCATGTTTTGTGCACCAGGGAGGGCTCAGTGCCCATCACCAATAACAGTTTGATTTGAGGACACACCGTCTATACAGGGTGGTTTTCCCCCACGGCTGAGGGCTGTGCTGTTTGCCCTGGAAGAAACTTGTATGCTTGTATGTATAAAATAACCCAGCGACAGGGATCTAGAGAAGGAGTGGAGCCGTGTGAAGTGGTGGAGGTCATACAGAAGAGGTGACATCCTGGCACAGGTGCAGAGGGACTAAGGTCTGTTCTTAGAAGAGTCAGGCACAGACCTCTGGCCTGGGCATGAGCTCCAGGTCAAGGGCACCCCCTGAGCAGAGGGCGGCGGCCACTGACAGACTGGTGATGTGGATGGGGAGTGTGGGTCAGCTCTCAGAGAGGCCACCAGTCTGTGGGAGCGGAGCACTTTCCAGGCTGAGTCCCTAGAAACACGCTGAGGCTGGGCTGAGGGGCTTAAAGAGAAGACACGGAAGGCTCTGCTTAGCAAAATGCAGCAGCTGACCTTAAATAAGTGTCCTCAGCTGGCTTTGGGCAAGGTGGTACTCAGCAGGACCTTCTTGGAGGACAGGAGCAAAGATGAGTTGCATTCAGAAGCCGTCCCTGTAAGTAGGGCGGGAGCAGCGATGCCTTCTTTCCTTCACCGGGTGCCAAGGTCTTCTAGGGGCCCGTGGTGAGCAGAAGGGGCTTCTCAGCCCTGTGGAGCCTTGGGGGGCACCAGCATCCCCCTTGTAATTGCAGCCTGGTTGGTGCCTTGCTAACAACTCAGTAAGCAGTTTGGCTGCAGATGAGGCGCGAGCACAGGGTGGCATGAGCGACAACATGTGGAGCAGCGTGCACACCTGCAGCAACTTCACGTGGAGGCATGGTCACGCACACCCCCTGCAGCAGGGGCAGTGTGTGTGCACCCCCTGCGGCCTGCCTGCCAGGAAGAGGGGGGCCTCATCAGTGAGCTGGCGCCTTGGAAACAATTGGCAAACCTAAGAACCACGTGTGTTTGTTGTTTCTGAGGATGAAGAGAGATGGGGCCATCTTCCTCCCTGGGGCTGACAGACTGTCCTGCGAATGTGTGTACAGCTTGTCACTCATTTAGCATTTAGCTCCCGAAATGGAAGGTTTGGGCATCATTTTCCACATTTTTACAAATTAAACACCAGGCGGTTTGTTGAGTGCCCCAGTCCCCTGGCTCCTCAGGGGCAGAGCTAGGGCTCATCACGCTGTCCTCTGGGAGCAGCAGCCTTTGTCCCCTCCTCCCCTCGGACCCTTCCTGTGCTTCCTGAAGCCTCACCGGCTCGTGTGTGGAGCCTGCTGGTCCTGGAGCAGGCGGACTTCTGATTGTGCTTAAGAACGGGGCTGTTTGCCTGCTTCAACTCAGTGCAGAGACCAGAGCATCAGGGCTGAGCGGGCCATATGCCACCCGCTCTGGTGTCTGTGCGGCAGGTTTCCCAGCACTGAGTGCTGTACAGTGCCGCACGGCAGGCCCGCGTCCTGACCTCCCAGGTCGGGATGGCGGCCCCACCTCGGGCCCCCTGCTCCTGGCAGACCGGTCCCTGTTTACCTGGACATGTGGGCATGGGGGAGTGGGTTGTGCTCAGCTGGCCTCAGCTGGGGCTGTTGCTGTCAGGCGGCCGCCTTCCCTCATGCCAGCCGACTGCACCCATGGAGGAGCAACTGCCCCGGGGAGCCCTGTTGGGCAGAAGCCTGAGGGTGACAGGCGGGTGGCTCTGAGCACCTGGCCTCACAGCTTGTCGTCCGCTTCATGGTGTCGCACATCCCAACCATGTGCGGGTCACACAGGGTGCTAGGCAGAGCGGTGCCACATGTAGGTATGTGGTTTCAAAGTGGAAGACACTCTGTTCCTGCTGAGCAGCTCTACAGGGTCTGGCTGAGACCATGGAGACTTGACTGTGTGTGACCTGCTTTTTCTGTTAAATGAGTATGTCCTGTGACTTTGCTGTTTTATAATTTTACCACATGGGCATCTAGGACAGAGGCCACGCTCTGTCACTACATTCGGGAGGCGGCTGTGACACGCACGCATGGCTCCAGTGCGGCCAGGCCACCCTGGGGACTCTAACACCTGGTCTCTCCCTGTTGCAGTCACGTTAGTCTCCTGTGCCGAGTACATCAATGAAGCGGCCGCTGCAAATTGGAGGTGAGTGTCTGCACTTCAGGATGGCGCTCCCCGGCTTTCTCCGCAAACCCCAGAATGCAGAGGGGACCTGCACGTGTGGGCAGGTGACAGCAGCCGTCGCCAGTCCATGGAGGCGGGACCTCTGAGGTGCGCCCAGCCGAGGGCTGTGTTTGCCTGGCCGCCGTAAAGTGACCCCGCGGTGCTCTGGGGAGGGTGCCAGGCAGTGGGCCCACCGAGGCAGCGGGGGTGGAGGGTGTGCGGCTCTCTGCCCTCCAGACTGCGCCTTGGGGCTGGCAACGCTGCACCCTGGCCCTGGCACCCCCTCACCTTTTGTGACCTGTTGGGGTGACCGGAGCCACACTTCCTGTATCCTGCCCCCTGCGATGCCTGGCTTTGGCCCTGCACCCAGGCCCACAGACCCCACTTCATCCTTTGGAGTGACAGACCTGCACTGGCCACCCCGTGGTGCCTGTGGGGCAAGGGACAGACACCCCACTGTGCCCCCTCGAGAAGGTTCCAAACGGAGCCTGCACCTTCCATGCCTGGACATCTACCTGATTCCCCAGAGGGCTTTGCCGGGAGTGACCCATAGGCCACATGGCCCACAAGTGTCTTACATGGCCTTGAGCTGAAATGCTTTTCATATTTGTACATGTAAAGTTTTTAAATGCATAAAGACAAACTGCTGGACTCTCAGCAGTACTGAGTTGAAGACTGTTCCAGCTGGGGAAGCAAAGTCCCATTGCTCAGCTGCCCTTCTGACCCATACATGCTCCCCTCGCCTGCCTGCCTCCCCTTAGCTGATGGCTGCACCCCAAATGCTGAGTGCACGAGTTGCAGGAGCGATGCAGACACGTCCTCTCTCCTCCTCACCCTCTGCCGCAGCCTGGCCCCTCCTGCATCCCAGCTGTGTCCCTCTTGCCGTCCCCATCTGTGAAGAACATAGGAGAGACATTTCCCACCTTCAGAAATAGCCTCCGGCCATCCTGCCAGGCCCTTTACAATGACACTTGATCAGTGGTCACTGTCCCCACCTCCCGGGTGGGCTTTGGCCTCCGACCTCGCAGTGTAGGTCGCTCAGCCTTGGGCCCCCTCTCCTGAAATGCTGGCTCGCTGCCCCCAGGGCCCACGCTGCCATGTCTCCCCTCAGGTTGGCCGCCCGCCACCACCACGCAGAGCTTCCGCCTCACACCCTGATGTCCAGATGCACTCGCACCAGCCTCTTACCCCTAGTGGGTGTGTAGCCGCCCTCCACACCTGACCCTCAGCTGCCTTCCCAGACCGTCCCTGAAACTTCTGCCCTGCTCCACCTTAGTCCTGGCGGCTCCTTCCAGGTTCTTGGGCCAGAGACCTCACATGGCATGCAGAAAGCCTTCAGGGGGTCCTGTGGCCTCTGCCTGGAAACGAGTCCCGAGGGCAGCCTTTCTCTCTCACCTCCACTGCCCACCTGGGTGTGGGTGGTCTTAGCCGCCTCAACGTCCCAGTGCCTCGTTGTCCTGGGCCGGGCAGCGGGTCTCAGCAGAGCAGGGTCTCCAGCCTCCACAGGCCCTGTTGGGAGTTGGGCAGCCTTGCCAAGGCCACACATACATCCATGTCTCCCTTGGCTTTGTTTTTCTCTGTATGTTAATCACGACATGCATGTTGGACTTTGAGTTGCCTGCACCCACCCCTCTAGAAGGTAAGCTAACTGAGCAGCCTCCCTGTCTCTGCCACGGCCCCAGTGCCGGTCACTGGACCACAGCGGGCTCTCTGTGCTGGGGTGTCCCTGGGTCAGCGGATCATTGCCCCTACAGTGCTGCCTTGGTGAACGTGGAGCTCTCCAGAAGCCCATGTACACAGAGAACATCGCTGAACACATGGCTGCACCAAGTAATTTCTAACTTTTCCTTAAAACAGGTTATTTTCAAAGTACCAGTATTTCGATTCAAGGGGGATGTTCATTTCTATAGTATTCTCCACACCGCTGCTGTGCAATGCCATGGTCATCGTGGTACGTATGCTGCGGCTTCTGTGCTTTAGCTCTGTGCATGCATGTTTCCCAGCCCTAAACATCTCCAAACGATTGTCCTTAGGTTATGTGGGTCCGGAAGACGCTGAGTGTGATGGCTGACCTGAAGAGCCTGCGGAAGAGAAGAAGAGAAGGGAGGCGGGAAAGGAAAGAGGACTGACGGCAGCTGGCGTCCACGGCAGTTTTCCTCCCATTGTCCCCACGTCTGTGACGAAGGGGGTTTTGTCGCAGCGTCCACACTGTGGAGCGCACCTCAGTTCTGGCTGTTAAACCTGATGTCCACTGGGGTGTTCAGCGAACCCGGCCCCAGCCTTAGGGTGTTTGAGTCTTACCTAGTTACACCATGGAAATATGGAAATAAATGGGTCTGTGCAGAGCCCTATGAGATTGGCCAAGTAGTCCATTCCTGTAAGTAGTACTGAGTGTAACGTTCAGTCCATAAAAGATGCTACACTGAGCGTGATCGATGCTGCCGCCTCAACCTCGCACCGCTTTCCATCTGCCCTTGACGAGGGTGGTGCTGCCTCCTGGGCATGTGGCAAGGTTGGTACTGTGGGTTGTCACTGGAGGGGGTATAGCTGGGAATGCAGCTCGGTGGCCCCAAATAGGATGATCTGACCCGAGATGTCAGTAGTGCAGAGACCGGGAGACCCTATTTAGGAGCCGCCTTTAAACGACCCCTTGGCAGCACGTTGAAAGGTCGTATGTGATCTCGACCCAGTGGTCAGGTTCCTGTGCAGCCTGGTCATGGGCATGTCACAAGGCTGTGCCCTGGGGCAGAGTCAGTAAGGGCTCCTTTGTTTCTTGCTGTGGTTACAGACATTTGGCCATAATAGAGGCATTAAGTCAGGACCCATGGGAAGGGGGCTGAATGAGCCCGTCAGCTTGTTCCTCAGGATGCAAAACTATTAACAAATATTCAGTGACTAGCTGTTTCAATGAATAGATTTTGGTGACAAATTGATCATATCCCTTACTAAATTCCACCTTTCTTTTATAACAATGTGGCCACTCAGGATTAGTAATGCCCTCAGTTTCGCTAGGACAGGGATTTGCAGGTCCCCTTCATAGACTAACGTCCAGGGCACTCCTGGATCCTGCCAGGCCTGGAGCTGTGGCTTGGGAAAGGCAGGTGAGTAGAGATGCAAATTTTAAAAAATGCAGTGTTCCATAAATTGTGATTGGCTCTTGATTTGGGTTTGAAAAAAATTGTAAAGAGTTGTCTTTACAAAAATTTTTTCCTCCTAAGTGAAACATACTCTTCAAATTTCAAATAGAAAAATAAAACTATCCCTATGAGATCATTTGTGTTTAGCAGTGTAAAGGTGACTCTTTGATATATCACAAAATTAAATTCGGGAACCCGGATGTGTTTCTATAGATGATTGTAAACTCTTAAGTCGAGAACCTAAGTGAGTTGATCTTGTAGAATATGTATTGGAACTTTTAACCTGAACATTTTTAAATTCCCTTCTTGATATGTTAAAACTTTTGTATTGAACATAAAAAATGACTTTAAAAATAATATCCCGTGTTAGGTCAAATTTTTAATTTTTTGTGCCTGCCAGACAACATGCCTGATCATATGTTTCTGAAAACGGACAGTTCGGGTCTTTAATGGTATGACGGCTTTACTGGTATGGTCACTGCACTACAAGTGAGCTTCACAGAAAGCAAAGCAGACGGGGCCAGTTAGGTGTGACCAGCCGGAGGGCACGGCCGCGGAGGGGTGGGCAGGAGTGGTCTGGGCATCGTCCAGATGGACAGTGCGCGGCACGTCTTCACTAGCGGTGAACTGTGGGACTAGTCGGACGTCTGACCGAATCGTAGTTGTCCTGTGACTCGCCTAATAGTGTTGGCTTTGCCTAGATTTGACTCTAATGACTTACATCAGTGTGGAAACATGACTCGGAGACTTCCTGGCTTTGTTCCCTTTGTGCCTGTATATAAATTTTCAGAACAATTTGTTCCATGAAAACATAATGTATTTTAGCTGTTAATAAGTTTATATTAAGTGGCTTACGTTGTGGTGTTAACAAATGTCTTAATTGACTTTGTCTCATACTGAGGACAGTCCTGGGGGCCTAAAGCTGATGGACAGACCGTGGGGGAGTTTGTCCAGCAGATGCTGGGGGGCGAGGAGACGCTGTTTGCTCCAGTTCTGTAACAAGGGGATTCTTAGAGCCTTATTTACTTGAAGCAGGTGTTTTTATTACACATTTATAAACAAAGAGGAGGAAGGGAGTTTTATGTTAAAATGTGTTTTGCATATTCCAAATCTCACCTTAAGTTTATCAATTGCAATGGGATATATTTCTAATAATATATAGTATGTTTTTTGTTCCGAATTGCACATTCTTTTACTCTCTCTGTAAATGGGGTAGGGGCTCCCCAGACATGGGCTCCACCTCTGCTGATGGGGCCTCTGTCCGCCACGTGGCGGAGCTGGGCAGACTACATTCACAGACCCTGTTAGTGTAGCTTCATGCACGTGCGCCAGGGAAGCTGGGCACTAACCTGACCGTGAACTCACTGCAGGACAGCAGCAGGGAAAGGCTGACCCGGCTCTCCCTTCACAAAGTGTCCATATTGAGGTTGAAAAAGTTTACAGTCTGAGACGCTCAGGAGGGACCCAGGAGACAAGCCCACTGCTGGAGCACAGCCCAGCTCTGCCCAGGCTCCTGTCCCCTCGTCCTTTGGGAAAGTGTCCCTACCCCTGCTCTGGACCCTGGCCAGCCCCTCCTCTCCTTTCCCACGTTTCTGTCTCCTGGAGAAGTGGCTGGCCACATCCGTGCACCCAGGCATCCAGAGAAAGCGAGTGGCTGAGTCCATCTTTCCCTGTGTGCAGAAAACCCACCCCTGCCCCCAGGCCCTCCAGTCCTAGCTAACAGCAAACTCACGAGCAGTCGCTGTGTCTTCCAGCTCTAGGAATGCTTCTTACGCTTGAGATGAAGTCCAGTAGCGGAGACTGAAAAGGAAGAAATGGTGATTTGGCCATCATTAGCTAGCTGTCACCACAGAGAGGCTGTTCCACACAGTGGCACTTGGGGCTCACTAGCTCCCCCACCCATGTGGCTGGAGCTGCGGAGCATGCAGAGCCTCGGCCCTGTGCATTCGCTTCCACTTCTTAGTTTGGAAGCTGGCATCTTCGTGTCTGGGCTCAGATGACTGAAGCCCAAGGCGCATCACAGGGCTGTTCCTCGCCCGTCTGTCCAGTTCAGCTCCGTCTCCGGGCGAGAGTCACGGGTGAGAACACTCACTCGACAGCTAAGCAATGGCTCCAAGGAGGCCCGAAGTCCCAGAAGGTCAAGGGCAGACTGTCATGGTGGTCCCAGCCCCCTGCGTCTGCGCTGCCTGTTGACCTAGTTCACCCTTGTGCTGTCTGCTTCCACCTCAGTCCCTGTTACAGGACACTCGGGCATCAGCGTGGTGTGTGCTGAACAAATGGCATCTTTTGTCCTCTGGGCTCCATCTAGGCAGCTTCACCTGGGCCTCCCTGCCTCCCCTTGACCCCGTCCACCCCTGATCTGTTTGCTGTCTCCCCAGTCCTACTTTTCCAGGAGGTCACAGAACTCGAATCAGAACACGGAGCCTGTTCAGATGGGCTTTTCCACTTAGTAACATGCATTTAGGTTTCCGCTTGAGAGCTTTTCATGGCTTGGGAGCCCATTCCTTTTTAAACGGCTGCATTACATCGCGTCGCCTGGAAGGACCAGTTTTTTATTGGACACCTGCTGGAGCACACCTTGCTTCTAAGTTTCGGCAATTATAAAAAAAGCTGTAATCTATACCCATGGGCAAGTTTTGGTGTAGACATAGGTTTTCAAAGTCTGGGTAAATTCCAACGAGCGTGATTCGGGTTCATGTGGTAAGAGTGTGTTTGACTTTGTAAGAAGCACCAAACCTTCTCCCAAAGTGGCTGTTCCGTGTTGCGCTCCCACCGGCAGTGGGTGGAGGTCCTCCCAGCCCCACCCTCACCCACATCGGTGTCCACGTCGTGGCCCTTCGGTGTGTGCAGGTTGCCCGCTGTCGTCTGGATGCGTGACTCCTTAGCAGCTTGTGCCGTCGAGCTCCCCCTTCTCCTGGGCTGCTTCGCTGCCTGAGGGTCTTTGCTGCTGTGTCTGTTCAGGCCTTTTAAGTGCACGGGCTGCTTTCTTAACAGCTGAGTCACAGCCCTTCCATATTTTGGATAACTGTCCTTTACCAGATGTGTGACTTGGGAATATTTCCTCCTGTCCCTGTCTTGTGTTCTCATTGTCTTCACAGTGTCTTTCACAGAAGAAAAGGTGTTCATTTTAGTGAGGTCCCGCTTACCCAGTCTTCCTTTCTCAGATCATTCCGTGGCTGTGTCTGCGGCGTCCTCGGATAGAAAGTCACCTGGAGTTGCTTCTGCTTCCTTGAGGGCTGGTCTGTGGGGGTAGCGGAGAGGCAGAGGGAGGGGGTGCAGAGCTTCAGGTGGAAAGAGGGTGAGACCCAGCTGGCCCCTTCATAAGCACAGATGCCCCTGCCCTTCGGTGACAGCTTGGGGTCAGAGGGGAAATTAAATCACAGAGACTCAACTGCAGAAGAGGCCATATTTTGGGCGGTGAGACAGTGTTGAATAAAAAGAAAAAAAGAGAAAAAAATGAAAGGTTGTCCACATGGGGCATTCTCAGGATGTGCTGGGGCAGAGTGTCGGATTCTGCACATTTATCTTAAATGTGTTAAGCAAACAGAGGCTTTTATTTCCAAGGCTTGATGCTTAAGTTTAGATTTCAAAGTGTACTTTGCATTCTAAAGATGTTAGTATTTTTTCTAACTCATTGAAAGATTCTGGTGTAAAAATTAGAAGGAAGGCTAACAGTTTAATCTGTGTGGGTTGGAAGCGGACAGTAAGAGGCATGGGGACTGTGCAGGAGATGCCCCACCCAAAGGACAGAGTTCGCTGAGTGTGATTTAACAAGACATACTGGAATCAGGGCGACGCCCCCACGCAAAGGCACAGCTCGCTGTCCCAGCAAACGGAAGAAACAGGAGGCTGTGGTGCGCCCTCTGGGGCAGCCAAATCTCCATCCTGGCAGCGTCTCAGGTTCCAAAGAGATTCGGGCTTGCAGGACCGCGACAGGTGGGCTGACTGATGACCAGCGCTGAGCGTTCCCAAGATTTGACTTAAATAAGGTGAAGTCTGGCTCGGCTGTATTTGCCACAGTAACTGTACTAATGACGTGCGATGCCGTGACATGGCAGTTTGCACGTGAGCTGAAGGGCAGGGGATGGCCGGACCTCAATTTCTGGAGAAGACAACGCGTTTCCACTGCAGCACACAGAATTCAGCTTGCTTGGTTTCGTTTTTACTTGTTTCTGTCACTTTGTGAAAAACGTGCCCACTTTAAGAAGACTCCCGAGTCAATATTAATTATTTAGGAGGCTGTCAGGTCCCAGTCCTTGAAAGGTAGCCTGTGATTTCTGGGAGCTTCTCCCATGGGCTCACTGTGCTCAGTGGGCGCTCAGTCACCCTGCGTCTGTGCCTCCTTTGGCCGCCCTGCGGGTGGCGCACGTTAGCGGAAGCTCTGTTCCTAGGAGAGGGGTGAACGTAGAGCTAAGTTTGCTGTGTGCCTATGGTTAACAAAGGCTTCGTCTGCTTATCTACATTATTAACAAAGGCCTTTTTTCTTTTTGTCATTCCTGCTGTGCTATTATCACACGTAAGAGTCAGCTTCAGTTCCTTGATAGCACCCAGCCATCCTGGTGTGTGGATTCCTACGGACAGGCTGCGTGCACAGCACACCCTGGGTGAGGGCAGCTCTCCCTCTTGAGGCAGCTTCTCTTTGTAGTGCCAAGGGTTTGTTGGTAAAATCAGGCAGTCTTTAAGAACGCCCCGTTTTACACTTGTGACCAGTCTTTGGGGCTGAACGTACCGCTTGTCCTTTGTCCTTCCTGTGACGTGGGCTCCCCTTTCCCCACATTCTTGCCTGCACTTGTTAATCCTTGCCTTTTGGATGGTGGCCTCTCAGACAGGGACCCAGAGGGACTCGGGCTTCTGTGAGGATGAGGACACAGGGACGGGGCCGAGCAGAGGGGCTCTATGAGCATGGGCCTTCTGTGTGGAAGAGTCCTTGGACCCTGGGCTTTGGGGGGTGGCACCAAGCTGGCAGGAGTGCCCCCACATCCATTGCCTGTCAGGGCAAGCTGGGCACGGCCCAGTACCAGCTCCCCTGAAGTCCCAGGGCTTTGCATCGGAAATGACAGCACCGGATTCCAGCCAGCTGCTTAAACCCACCTCCCTCAGCTGGTTAGTCTTCAAATCCCAGACCTCTGAAGCCTCTGAGCCTCCCTGTCTCCTTGGCCTGTCTTCCCCAGAGGCCTCCTTCCTCTGACCTTGGAGACCCCCAGGGCTGGGGGGAGAGGGGGGCAGCTGCCTCCTTGATGCCCTTTGATTAATTTTAAGAACTAAGGCAGGTGCCCCAGAGGCTCAGCACATCAGGCCCTGCTCCTCATGCTTCCGCTTTGGGGGCTTCCAGTGAGTCGTCGGAGACACCACATCCTTACGCCCTTTGCAAAACCATGTCCTCTACCTGCACTTTGTTTCTCATGTTGCCCCCGATTCTGAAGACCTGCAGCTGGAAGCCTGGTCACTGCCCCACGCCTGCAGGTGCCTGTCCTGAAGCTGGCCAAGCCTGGCAGGCACCCTTGTTTGGGGTCTGGGAAGATCTGCCCCCCCGAGGCATGCCAGGGCTGGGAAATCCCGGGATGAGCCAGGTGTGCGCCTCTCCCAGACCCCTCATGTCAGACTCGAAGGGACCCCCTGGCACATGGCTGCTCTGGGGAATCCACAGGGGTCTTGACCCCAGAATAGCCCCCCTCCGCCCAGGGCCTCCCCCGCCATTTCCCTTACTCCCTTCTGTCCACTCAGGCACAGTGTTCCGAGGGTCTAGCTCCCTGTGATCCTGAATTTTTTAAACTCCTGTCCTTTGATCAGAGTGACATTTCACTCAGTCTTAGCCCAGTCATCCCGTACCCCTTGCAAGCAGCTGTCAAGGATGCCCCTCCTGGTGCTCAGGCCACGTAGAGTCCCCCCTTGGTGTTCTGGCCACATGTGGACATCCCCCACCCCTGCCCCAGATTCCTGGTGCTCAGGCCACATGTGATTCCCTCCCTCACGTGGGGACGGGGCCAGAGAACGGGATGCAGCACGTGATGGGGGCACTTCTGCCACCAGGTCACAAAGCCCAGGACACTGCTGCCTTCTCGTTTTCCTGCCTTGGAGGAGAAGGCGCCTGGCGAAACAGGCCCCTTGCCTCGGAGGCAGAAGGCCTCCGAGCCGGGGTCCTGGGCGTGAGTCCTGCTGGCGATCTGGGGCAGCCACAGTCCCCGCTGACCCTGGGCTGTGGAGGGGGCCTCCCAGCTGTGCCTGGGTCTGGCCCACAGGACATGTGGCACATGTCGTGCAGGCATGGATATGGATGACAGACGGCCCAGATGAGATGTGGCCCTGGTCCCAGTGCATGCAAACCTCGGCGTCTGAGGGCACGGCCTGCTGGCATGTGGTCGGCTCGTCAGCGGCCAGGATGTGCTGGCAGTCACGGCCTCGAAGCCTCGCCCATAGGCACTCAGGGAGCAGCTGGGGTGGCCTCCCCTTCAGCACCTGGCCCCCGACACCTGCCACAGTGTCCCCACCTACCCGTGTCCCTTTCTCCTTGATAAGTGAGCAGTTACCAGGTGTGTGCCCTGCACTCGGCAGTGACAGTCCCAGTTCCCCATGGCTTCGGCTGTGCCTCCGACACTCCAGGACTGCCTGTGCTGCCACGTCCTGCCTCAGACCACCTGGCCCAGCCCAGGCAGGGAGGGTGATGCTCTGACGTCCCCCAGAAGGACACGGGCCACTGCCCTAGGGCTGTCGGGGTTGGGGGCAGGATGCTGGTCATCCGCCTGAGGCCCTGCAGCACAGCCCCACCGGTGTCGGAGGGTCCTCGCGGCACATGGGGTCAGTGGGAACATGCTGTGGACTCGCCAGCCTGATGCAGTGTCTTGGCTCTGCTGCTTTAGTGAATTTGGGTTAAATTCTCACCCTCCCAGAGCCCCAGTTTCAGTTGAAAAGGACTGGCTCATACCTACCCTCATCACTGCTGAGAACATTAGGGGAAATGGTGAAAAACATGCACCTGATTTGGGGTCTGGCCTGTTGGCATTACTCAATAAGGGACAGCATGTCCCTGGGCATTTAATGGTCTCTGAACACCCACGTAGTGCCTACTAGCCGGGTAATGATTTCCATGCAGGTATGACCCAGATACTACAAAAACATCGAATGATACAAAAGTACTGTTAGTTTATTCAGATGGCTTGTGTCCTTTTCCCTGTGTCCTCCCCAGGGCACCCAGAACAGCGTCCTGGGCGATTGGAGGGACTGTCCCGTTTGTTCTGGGGGTGGTTCAGAAGCGCGGAGCCTACAACAGCAGAGAGCGCGGTCTGCCCTGAATACAGCTTCAAAAGGCTGTTCGGTGAACGCAGTGGCATGAAGTCAGAAAAAAATGATTTTCTTTCTACGAAGACAGGCACGCTGTTTCGGGAAGACGGCATGACAGTAGTATCGATTCCTGTAACAGCCCTGTGGTTTCTGAGAGCTCAGGATTGCACCTCAAGGTACGCTTCCCTCCTTCGCCTGCAGGTGTGCTCCTAATTCAATAAAGATGCATTTCAGAGTCATTTTGAAAATATTACCTCATTGATGTGGGCGCAAGTTTGCCAGGAACTGTGAACTGCACAAGCCTAAAACGTGTCCAGTAAAACCCAGACATCACTGTGGTCTCTGGCCCCGCCCCCAAGACTTGGGCGGGTGGAGCTCGAGTTAAGAACATTTATTAGCACATCTGTGACCACCCGTTGGCTGAAGTACCTTGACCCCCAGGTCAGCACCTTCTTTTTAAAATTCTTTTTGCCAAATCTGCATTAGAGAAAAATGCCACTGGTTCGTAAATCTATAGGTACAAATGCACAGGTATTATATTGCTATATTTTCCATATAGAGAAAAATATTCTAAATACTTAAATCTGAGTTATGTTTTGGTATTTCTAAGACACAAGTTGGCAGGATTTCACTTTTTACAAACAACTCTTTCATGAGACTAATGTGAGCTTTTGGGATGTGGTGACTTCTCTGCAAGAAGAGCAATGACTAAGAAAGTAGAATTGTCACCTCTGCAAAATTCTGGCCAGAAATAATGGCTCCTGTACTTATAGGTTACAGCTCAAATCTGTTCTATGAGTAGAAATGTTTTAATGCTTTTACAGCTTATGAATGAAATGCACATGTTGCTGGGGTTTGAAGCCCTTGGATGGTCGCTGATCACTCACACCCGGTGTGGACGTGCCCCACGCTGACGCCTGCGTGCCCCGCAGCCTGGGCATTTCCTTAACCTCCTGAGCAGTCCGTCTCTTAGGTGTGAAGTTAATTGCAAAGCTGATCGTCCAGTCCATTTCCCTTCGTTTAGGGGGTGGATCGGGTGGTGTGCCCAGTGGGTCATGCAGCTGCTGCGACAAGCCAGCCCGGAGATCCGCTGCCCTCACACAGCCCTACCTGCTCCCAGGTACTCCCAGATCCAGGGCGTGGGGACAGCAAGATCAGGGCTGTGTCAGGAGTGCGCCTGCCTCTGCTGGGTGTCACTGAGGGTTTGCATGGATCCCACCTAGACGCGGGGATGCGCAGCCCCAGGGAGAAGAGCTGGGCCGCCCAGCGCGGCTCTGGAGGCACTGGTTTCGAAGGTTTGCAGGAAATGCACACCATATGTGCGAATATTTGCCAGCTGACCCATGTTGTCTCTTTCCCTTGGCAAAACCGTATTTGTATTTATGCTAATATGTGTTTTAAAAATAAATATTTACTATAAAATATGTATAATATATACTGTAAATATATATACAATATATGTAAAAATATATATATAATGGTAAAAAAAGTTTCCAGTTGTAACTATTTTAAACTGCAGGGAGCCTGATATCATATTGTGACATTGTGATTCAACAATAAGAAATGCTATTGGGTCTTCACCTGTGTCTGGTGCAGAGCTCCTTAAGACCCTAAGGCTGGAGAGCCATGAAGGTGTCTTTTGTTATGTTGATAAGTGACTTTCAGCAGTCCCCTGAGGGTGGGGCCTGGTGCCCTCGGGAGGGGAGGGACGGCTGGAGGCTGAGTTCAGTGGCTTAGGGCCAATTCCATTTCATTAATCATGCCAGAGTACTGGAGCCTCCGTAAAAACCCAAAAGGTCAGGGTCTGGAGAGTTTCTGGGCTGGTGAACCTGTGGGGATGTGGGGAGAGCAGCACGCTGGGAGGGGCCGCGGGGGGCCATGCCCCACCTTGCGCTCTGTGTCTCTCTCCCATTGCCTGTTAATCCACTAAGGAAAATGTCTGAGTTCTGTGAGTTGCTCTTGCGAATTGGTTGGACCCCGGCTAGGAGGTGTGGGAACCTCCGACCTGTACAGTTGAAGCACAGGCAACCAGCTGCACAGGAGACTGGCACCCGCAGCGGGTGGGGCAGCCCTCAGGACTGGGCCCTGAACCTCCAGGTAGATCCAGGTCTGAACTGTAAGGGTGCCCGGCTGGAGCAGGAGAGTCGCTTGGCATGGGAAAGCCCCTCAGTGGAATCTGGTGTCGGAATCGTAAATGCAGTTTAAATTTGTTTTATTTCATTGGTGTGTTCATATAGTTAACCTTTATTTACTCAATCACTCTATAGTTACATATTTCATAATTACTCTGGGCAACAGACGCGAAGATTCTAGCCCAGAACGGGGAAAGCAAAGTGGGCGCCTGGCTGTCTTCCCTGAGTTGGCCGCATGAGGACATGGTCAGTGGGGACAAAGATACAGGGAACCGGATCCATGCTTCCTGTGGACGGAGCCGGAGTGAGAAAGATTTAGAGAAAAGATGCTTGGTGAGATAAAAAAATCGCATTGAACTGTTTTGCCATTTCATCACTGAGGCTGTGGTGATTCCTAACAGCACATGTGGGGACTTATGTGACTGTCAATCACGCTTTGATTGCTGACCTCAGGGAACCAGAGTTGGAAACCCAAGTACTCTCCCAGGGAAACCCTCTCCGCCCCTGAATCCAGACATGGCATCCACTCCTGGGCATTGATAGATACTGATTCCTCGTTCTCTAAAACCAAGTTTGTAATGACACATTTAAATTGACTTTTATACAAAGCACACACAAAAATAAACTCCAGTCTAACCTATAATGGAAGATGACAGACAGGCCTATAACTCCGGCCCAGCTGTGCCACGCAGAGTCAGAGCCCCTCCTCACCCTTGTTGCCAAGCCCGGAGCAGCGTCCAGGCCAGTACGCTCCCCGCCACCTGCTGATGATGCGCGCCCCGGCCGCGGCTGCCTCTGCCCTGGTGCTCCTGGCCCTCAAACCTTGTGATGCTCCATTTTGGTTTAAAGCTCTATCCATTTCCCCCTCAACCACAGTAAGAAGTGGTGTGCAGGGCTGGACACCAGGAAATAAACCAACCCAGACCAAGTCCCAGGGCTGAGCATTCGGGTTGGTGCTGGCGATGCGCTGTGGGGTCATTGTGGGGAGCCTGAGGGCTGGCCAGGACCCGCAGGTCCTGCTCTGTCCACGGCAGGCGTGGGAGGGAAGGGGCTCATCATCTGGCCGTGCAGGTTTTCTGGGCATTAGTCACTCTGGAATCGGCTGCGATTCACTTAGCCAGCAGTCCCGGAGGCCGCCGGGCAGCCTGGGTATCTGTGTCAAGGCCTTGGGTCTCCTGCTGCAGAGGGCTTCCACAACATGTGGGCCACAGGGAACGCAGCGGCCTCCAGAAACTGTACTCTGGTGGGTGACAGAGGAGGCCGGTGGCCGTGGATGTGGCCACAGCGGACTGCATGGTTGAGCAGCCCAGGTCTGTGTGCTTGGAGTCCAAATAGCCAGAGTGCCTCTAAATTGGCGGCTGCACACAGCCCTGCTCCGCCCACCCTGGCTGCCCTGCTGTCCCTTGGGACTTGTCTGGGTCCCCTCCACTGGAACTGAGCTGCCTGGTGCCCCAGGGTTTACGGGTACAAGCGCTTTGGGGACTGTGTCCCTGCACTGATGCGGCTGTGGCCTTGTGTGTGTGGCCCTGTAGGTAATCTTGATTCACGTCTGCATATTCTTTTGCTCAAAGAAGGTATTAGCTCGGGTCCCAAAAACGTGGGTCTGCCTCTGCTCGGTTGGTCCAGGGAGGGTCGAAGTCTAGGTCTGGAGTAGGGCCTGTTTTCAAAGCCCATGGTCCCGTTTTCGCAGTCATCTCTGACTTACTAGTTCACAAAGCTTATCTTTGGCAGTAACAATTAGCAGCTGATAAATTCATGAAATAAGATTTCAGTCTCTTAGGCCAGCAGATCTCAGATTAAGTTCAAAGGGCATAATGGGTAAACAGAGATGATTTTCCTGAAGGGCCCGCACCCTACTCAGGTGTGTAACGCAATAGCTTGTCTCCCGGATATGGCCCATCGGTGTCGGGACTGGCTGTGCCCACCGAGGTCCCAGCGCAGCGGCTGGGCTGCCGGGCTCTCTGCCCATCGTGCTTCCTCGACTGAAAACCACTGCCCACATGCCAGCCACGGGAATATAGTTGAAAAGGGAATGTGCTCTGTGCGCCTCTCCCAGATCCAATTTGGCACCTGAGCTCCTCCTGCGATTTCTGTGCCCAGGAAACACGTCCTCATCTCACAGCTGACCCTCCCCTGCGAAGGAGCTGGAGGCAAACCTGGGCAGAGCCGAGGACACCAGATCTCATCCATGACTGCCGCTGACGTGGGTGGGTTCAGGGGCCTGGGTCCTCGGTGGAATGGAATGAGCTTGCCTTGGCTTCTGGAACCTTCTCAGCGCATGTTTGCAGATACCCGGGCATCTGGTGCCGAGGTGTCTCAGAGGTCAGCTGAGGCCACCTGGAGAGTTTTGAGCCCATACGCTTGGGGCACGGTGATGTGCAGGTGAGAAGGGGGATTCTCAGGCCGTCCCTAGATCTCACTGACAGCAGGATGCAGGCTTGACGTTCCTCATTCTGGAATGAATGAAGAGCACATCCTAGTGGATTACGGGGCCTGTTTTGCCTTGTGACCCCTGTGCTATTCTGATGGCTGAGAGGATTGCTGAGGGTCTGGGAGGCACACTACTTAGGGGGCAAGTGCCATCCTGCCCACCTGGCCGCCACTGCGCTGGTGTTCCTGTCCCCCTTTGGCCAGTTCTGCCGGCCGCTGTTCACACTGCCCCTTGTAGACCTGTGACCTCCTGGGAAGGGGGAGCCCTTGTCCGTCCGAGCTGGAGACACCTGCAGGTCTCATGGCTGACCTTTCCCCCGAGCATCACACCTTTGAGTAAAGTCTCCCCGTTGTCAGCCGGGTTCCTTTCTTCTTTGGCTCCTCTTTACCTGCATGTTACCAGGTGAGCCCTTGCACCACCCAAGCTAAGGTGCACTCTCTCTTCCAGAAGCACACGCACCGGCTGTGCTTCGTCACAGGGAATAACTGGCTGCGGGGCTGCCGCCCCTCCTGAAGAGCCAGCAGTACTGAAGCAGAGTCACAGCAGCAGGGGCCCCAGAGCTTTCCTGTCAACAAACAGTGCAGGCGTGGGGACAAACGGAGCTGCCTCCAGC